CGACAACAGCGCCGACACCCCCCCGACAAAAACTCCCCCCAACCAAACCCAAACCCTAACCACGACCCCCATATAAATGAATTGCCCGAAAACATTAAGGAAATTTCCCTCCTCCCTCTTCCCCAAGCCCAACAAATATCCGAACAAGAAATCAAAAAATCACTAAAAGAAAATGGTATCTCTGAACAGGAATTAAATCAAGAAAGTTGGTTAGGTGGAAAGGACTGAAAAGATTATTTAAAGGGCTTAGATACTCCCCAAAAAGTGGCTGAATTTACTTACAAAATACGGCAGTCTATTTTAAAGAAATCATTGGCTAAGTCAACTTCAAGCGAGAACAAAAAGCCTGAGAACGATTTAATTTTGCCAGCAGTCATAATAATTCTTTCTCTGCTTGCTCTAACTACTCTAATAATAATTATTCGTAAAAAGAGGCAAAGAAGGTTTTAATTTTTTCTAATTACTGCGTTATTCTTTCTTATCAGAAGACCACGAAAAAGAAAGAAATTTTAAAGATATTTCTTAAATAAATCACGCACTGTATCAGTAGGTTGGGCTCCGTGCGATAATCATTTTTTAATGTTTTCTTTGTCTAATTTTATTTCTTTACTGTGCGGGTTATAAAAACCTAAGTATTCCAAATAATTGCCACTATCGCGTGCTCTTCTTTCGTCAATGGCGATTATTCAAAAAGAATGTTGACCTTTTCGACCTTTCAGGCTTAAACGAATTTTTACCATTTTTATTATATTTTAATTTTATTGTTTTATTATTCTTTTTTACACCTAATCTTTTCTATTTTTTTTGGAAAATTATTTTCGTCAACTTCTTTTATTTTTTGGTTAATGTTTTCTAAGACTTCCGACCAAAAAATCTCTTTCTCTAATTTTTCTACCACTTCCTTTTTTGGTCTGGTTATGGGATGTTTAGGTTCAAATAAAGAACAGCAATCCTCATAATTTTTTAGAGAGAGGTCGTAAACACCTATTCGTTGTGATTCAGCGATTATTTCCCTTTTGTCTCAACTAATTAAGGGACGGAGAATGATTAAAGAACTTACTTGCGAAATCACATTTAAACTTTCAATGGTCTGTGAGGCCACTTGGGCCAAGGCATCACCGGTGGCCAGAGCAGAAATTGCTAATTTTTTGGCTAAAAAGCAGGCACAACGAATAAACATTCTTTTTAAAATAATTAGGCGGTATTTTTCTTGGCTAATATGACTAATTTCGGAGAAAAGAGGCTGAGTATCAATTAAGTAAACGTTATTAGAATAATTATTGTAGGGGCTTAATTTTTCAACCAGGGCAAATATTTTTTCTTGACCTTCCTTTTGGTGATAAAAATGGCAATAAACAACTTCTAAACCTCTTTTCATTAATTGATAAGCGGCGACTGGCGAATCTATTCCCCCACTCAAAAGTAATAAAACTTTTCCTGAACTGCCAACTGGTAATCCTCCCAGTCCTTTTACTTTCTCGGTAAAAAAAAGGATAAAGCCACGATAAATTCGGACATAAAAAGTTTTTTGTGGATTGTTTAAATTGACCTTTAAACCTTGCTTTTTAACTACAATTTCCCCTAGTTCTTTTTGTAATGTTAAAGAATTTTTGGGAAAGTTTTTATCACTCCGGCTAACGTCAAATTTGAAAGTAGGAAAATCAATTTCGTAATAATCAGCAATTTTTTCAACAAAATCATAAAGTTTTTTACAATCATTTTCTAACTGGTAAGCAAGAAAAAAAGCACTAATTCCAAACACTTTACTTAAAGCGATAATCATTTTTGACAATTCCTTGTCATTTTTGGTAGTAATTATTAATTGGTCGTGGAGTTTTTTAACGTTAAAATCAGAAAAATTATTTTTTTGAAGCGTGAGATTAACATTAACAACTAGTTTTTGGACAAAGTCATCTCTATTTTTTCCCTTCAAAAACAGCTCGCCATAACGAACAATTAAGCACTGGTTATTCATTTATTCTCTCTCTCTCTCTCTCTTACCAATGAATCTTGGACTAGAAGAAATTTCTCTTTTTTTTCTCATTAATCCCTGCTTCGCTCCTAGTAAATAACCTCTTATTTTTCTCCGATATCGCAAAATGAAATAAACTATTAAACTAAATAGACTAAACCAAAAAAGAACTAAAATAATTTTCCAAACAAAGCGATAATCACGACTAATACCTAATTTATCGCTCATTTTTTTGGAACTGAGAAAAGGTAAAATTCACCGGGCTCGAAATTTTTCAAAATATTTCCTGTCACCAAGCCTACTGCGGAGATAGCCATAGGAAAAATAAAGAGTGGGTTGAACTAGGCAAAACAAAATAGTCAGTTTTAGTTTCTTTTTCAACAAGTCCGTTCGCTCATGGCGGAAAAATCAGACAATAAAATAGGTTGGAGCGATAAAATGTCAAAGTGGCGAATAAAGTCACCATTGAATTACTTTGCCAATTTGCATTTCCCCGATTTTATGGCTTGGAATGGGAACCAGTTTGGTGGTTTGGCCAGTAATTCCTAAGTAGGTAGTCAAGGCGGTAACCAACCAGATAATCAAACCAAGCCCATAAATTAGCATGGTGATTATGTTGCTAACCATGACTATCAGAGAAATAATTTGATAAGAATAATTATTATTTTTTGGTCGCTTTATTAACTTTCACAGAATAAAACCAATGGTTAAAATGCTATTCCAAGTACACCATCACGCTAAAAGGTGTCAAAAAAATTGGCTAGGAAATCTCACTTTGTCCCCTCCATTAAACCAACCAGAAATCAGACAATAGACATGAGAAATGAGTAAGAAATAAAATATCTTTTTTTCCTTTTTTATCATATTATAATTATTTTTAGACAAGAGAATACTGTTTTACAATCATCATTTCCAAGTAAAGTAATAATCCTTTTGTTTCAACTTAGCCTTTGTTTTTTTAAATCTCTTTTGCTCCTTATTTCTCCCTCTGCTCCACTTAGAAAATTAAAAAAAGTATTAATATGGAAAATAATAATTGAGAAGCCATTAAACAAAAAAAAACCGAACACCTAGAAAAAGAATTAAAAGTTTTTGTTGGTAAATTAGATAAAATTAGAAGTAATCGGATTTCGTTAGAAGCAATTAGAGGATTAATGGTAAATTGCCAGGGAGAAAAAAAGCCTTTAAAAGCCGTAGCCAATTTACGGATTTCATCCAATCATGAGTTAGTTATTCATTCTTTTGAGCCGAAACTAACTCCCTTAATTAGCAAAACAATTTTAGATAACCAACTAGGATATAAAGTTGAAAGAAGCACGAAGGACGAAACCTACTTTGCCCTTACTCCTATTACCACCCAAATCAAAGAAAAATTAATTAAAGAAGTCAAGTCCCTCACAGAGGAAGGTAAAAAAAATTTTCGTCTTATTCACCAAGAACTTAAAAACTGGTTAAAAAAAGAACCTCATATTTCTCAGGATCAGAAAAAGAATTATGAAAAACAAGCAGATAAATTGGTTAAGGAATATCAAGACAAATTACTGGAAGCGGAGGAAAAGAAAATAAAAGAACTAAGTTCCTAAAAGATATAAAAATTATAAAATTAAAAATAACAGGAAACCTAAAGATACCTTATGAAAAAAGAACTAAATAATAAAAAGAAACTTTCTCCTATTCATCCCGGAGAAATTTTGCGAGAGGAATTGCTAATCCCCCGCAACATTAGCCCCCAAGAATTAGCCCATGCCTTAAAAGTTCCTAAGGAACAAATTCAGTGAATATGTGAAGAAAGAGGAGACATTACCCCTGATTTGGCGACCCGTTTATCTATTTATTTCAATAGCACAGTGGAATTTTGGCTCAATTTACAACGCAGTTATGACCGAGAAATAGCCGAGGAAAAATTGTCCCAATTAAAAAAAGAAATTAAGCCTTACCAAGCAACCTCAAAAGGAATAAGGTTAAATTTTAAAAATTCTGGAAATAGCCAAGCGAAAAAAGTTTAAACGAAAGGAAGTTGAGGAATATCTAAAAGGAGAATGAATTAGAGAATTCTCGGGTATTAAAAACACTGGTGAAATGCGACGGAGACTACGAATAACCTCTGAAACCCAAGACAAAAGGGATTTTGACATGTTTTCTGGTTTTCGTTTAGAGTTAATTCAAGGCACCAAAAACCATTATAGTATTAGGACTGGCAATGGGCCATGACGGATATTCTTTGTTTGAGAAAAAAACGAAGCCTGAGAAATTGATTTAAGCAAGCATGATTATAAGAAAGTAACTGCAAATTTTTAATTAACTTCTTAAAAAATATTCACCTCCAAGAACAAACTATATATAATATAAAATAAATTAAGGAGTCAGAAAGAAAGTGATGATGTGAAAGAGATATTAAGTCGTCTCTCTCTCTCTCTCTCTCTCTCTCTGCTAATATAATTAAAACTAAAATAAATAATTAACTATTAATATGAACCGAAACATAAACTTTAAAACATTAGACGAAAAGAAAAAAGAATTAGCAAGTTTAAAATCTGAATGAGAAGAAATGAAGGAACAAGAGAAAAAGTTGAAAGAAAAATTTTATAGCAGTCCGTTTGAAAAAAGAGCCCAAATAAAAAGAGAATTAAAAACGCTCCAAGATGCTATTTTTAAAAAGAAAGATTGTGGAACTAGTGTCAAAATTGAAATTGAACGAGAGGAATCATTACAAAATCGGGCTAATCCAGTTGGTAATCCGACTGACCCAAAAACATTAGCCAATTTGCTGAAAAGTGATTTACAGGACATTTTAAATAATGATAGCCGATGAAGAGAAGAAGGTTATAATTTTGACTATATGGAAGTTGCCAAAGGTGAAGAAATCTGAGTTATGCACTGGAAAAAGAATAAAGAAATTGAAAAGGCCATTGAAAATTTACCCCGCCACCGCAATTCAGAAAAAGATTATGCTAACGATATTAAACCCAGCGATTTAGACCAGGAAGATTATAATGAAATATTAAGTTTAGTTCGCCAAATAAGAGAGTTAGGAGAGGTTAAAAGAAAGCAATACCAACAAAATACTGAAAATATAAAACTCAATAATCCTAGTTTATTTACCCAATCAAGGTGTTCGACTGATAAAAGAAATGGTCAGAAAAAATGGGAAAATTGACATACTTTCAGTGGAAAACATAATGGTCATAACTGAACAATTCATGTCCCAGATAATCATATAGCCTTAACCAATGTGCTTTTTGATGATGGTTGAGGAACAAATTCCGAAGTCGGAAAATTTTTTGTAGTGGAAGGAGTGGCTAAGCCAACTACCCTTCGTTATTGAAATGTTGCCAAACAAAGAAGTGAAATTATTTCCGAAGCCGAAGCCCAACGTTTAATAAAACAAGATAAAGATAATGATCATTATTATATTAATTATGACACTTATATTGATTTAAATGATAAAATATGGATCGATCATTATCAAGGAGATATTAAACAAGAATTAGCAAAACCAGTTAGCGGTGCCAATAAACTAGTAAGAAGCAACGACCATAAAAATATGAGTGGCGGAGTTATCACTAAACAAGTAGATAAAAACCAGCAATTAGACAATGAATTTTTGTTGAAATACTTCCAAGAACACGATATTAAAGAAATTTCCTTAACTCCTGAAGGTAATTTATTAATTGAACACAATAGCGGTGAAACAAAAACTATAACTAACGACCAGGCCAATCGCCAAGGACTACAAAAAGTTATTAGTTATTACCAAAAAAATAATCAAACTAATTTAAGCCAGCAAGATTTAATTAATATGTCTGATACTAACTCGCCAACTACAAATCCGAAAAATAACCATGCTTTATTAATAAGTTTTGGCATTATTGGAGCCTTAATAATTGGAATAGTTGTTGGATTATGAGTGAGAAAAAATAAAGTTAAGAAAAATTAATTAATTTTGTTTTCTTTTTACTACATTCTTTTTCGCTGAGTTCTCAAAACTACAAATTGTGAAAGTTCGACAAAATTAAATGACTAAGCAGAGGATAATCGATAATCCGAGTGAGTGGATTATAACAAAAAGGGGAGATTTTGTGCGAATAAATGACAGTGAAATCTACGTTGAAAAGAAGTTAAAGACAATCCGCGAGCATTTAAAAAAACCTTACAAAGGGGCGGTTCGCTTTCGTGGAAAAACACCTGAACAAGTTAGCAAAGAAAGATACGATAAAGTTTTAGAAGAGGTTAATTTTGATTATGATAAACTTCATGATTGGATTTATGACGAGAAAAATAAAGATAAGATTGAGATAGTTAAATTAGAAGGACAGGATTTTTCAGAGGCGACAGAATCCATATTTAACCACATTAAAAATTCGAGGCAAAAATGGAGAATTAAAAAGGAAACATTAACTAACGAAGAAACCGGACAAATTATTTATTTTAATCCTCAAATTAGTGGAATAATTGATGATTTAAGAACAAATTGGGATTACCAATACAATGGCGGCTCGGTTATAATCAGAGAAGCGAGAGAACATAAAACAAAAGAAAAACATACTTCAACATTAATTTTTCTCCATGGAACCTATGCTTCAGGCTCGTTAGACCAAATGGCTGAAAAATTTCCGGGACTGAAGGTTATTCATCCTTTCTCACCAGTTTTACAATATGACATGTGGCATGGCTCACAACCGGCTCCTGGCAGCCAAGAAAAAGGCTGAGTTAATATCACTGGCGACGCCCACGAAGTTATGGATACTGACGTTTGTCCGAACAATCCCCCACCTAAGAAAAATTTTGAGGAAGCCGACCAAATAATTCACTTAGACTATCCCCAACTAATGCGAGCGGTCAGTTATGTCAATGAAATTATTGAGAAGGAAATTGCGGCTGGCATTCCTCCTGAAAAAATTATTATTGCAGGCTATTCCCAAGGTGCTTTATTAACTTTGGCGGTGGCTCTCACTTCTCAACATAAATTAGGTGGGTTCGTTTCCCTCTGTGGTTTCTTGCCCCGCTGAGATAAATTGCTCGTCCGGCCTTCAGAAAAAAATAAAGAAACCCCTTGTTTGATTATCAATAACTCAGGCGACTACTGAGTTCCTTTTTGAACGGGTAAAAAAACCTATGACCTTTTAAAAGAAAGAAATTACAATGCAAAGTTTAAAACTCGTCCAGGCTTGGGTCATAGTTGAAAAAATGAGGATGTGGCCGAATTTCTGGAAAAATGTCTTAACCAAGAGGCTAAAAAACGACCAAGTAAAAGTGATAGTGAATGGAGTACGGCCCAAAAAATAGCCGTTGCGGGCGGAATAATTGGAGTAGTGATTATAATTTGTTTAATAATTTTACGGAAGAGAAAAAGAACAACACCTAAAATATATTAATCAAATCGCGGGGTAGAGTAGTGGTCTAACTCGTTGGGCTCATAATCCAAAGATCGGAGGTTCAAATCCTTCCCCCGCTACCAAAGCAGTATAAAAATAACAAATGAGTAATGCAAATGACACACACACACACACACACACACACAGCAAAAAAGGCAATTATATAGATGAATTGGATTAGTAATCGGCCTAATTTTGGGATTAGGTATTAGTTTTGGCTATTATAATTGGGTAAAAAAGAAAGCAGCCATTCATTTTCAGAAAAATATTGGCGAAAGTGATTCCAAGCAGAGTTGCAAAAGTGACAAATGAAAAACCCCAGACAAGCCATATTGTTGGCAATGGAACTGCAAAAAGCGTTAGGAATTTATGAAGAAGTTAAAAATGAGACTAATCCCGAAATAATACAACAAAAATCATTGCAAAGATTACAAGAAATGGATGATAAAGAACAAAAGAAAGTTCTTAAAAAGATGATGGAGATTTATCAAGAAAATGCTCCTGCTTTTTTGAGTTCATTAGAAAAAAAGTTCCCCTGGCATTTGCGGTACTATTGGTTAGTCATAATTTTAATAGTCTTTGCTAGTTCTGGAATTAGTTTTTTGGTGGGATATCTACTAGAACCAACCGAAAAAATAAAATACTAAAAAGCCCAAATCGCGCAATTGGTAGACGCAGCGGATTCAAGACCCGTCCAGTGTGGGTTCGAGTCCCACTTTGGGTACCAAAAATAAAAACTTTAAACAAATAATTATAAAATTAGCATATATATATATATATATATATATGAAAAAAGTCACTAAAAACGAGTTTGAAAAATGAAGTGAAGAATTTGGAAAATTTTTCGACAGTATAACAAAAGCGGGTGTTAAAAATGACACTCTCACCGCCAAGGAAATAAATCAACTTATTGATGTCGATGTTTTGATAAAAACACACCTTAAAATGGGAAATATTTGGGCGGTTATGGCGGGTTTGGAATTTATAAAGGTAGCAGGCGTTCCAGAAAGCGAAAGAAATAAAACTTTTACTGAAATAGGTGGTCGAGTATTTAATGAGTGAGAAAATGAAATCAAACAAAAATTAAAAGACCATTGCCAGGCAGGCGGTTATTATGACCCTAGCGAGCCAATGGACTTAACTTCTCTCCACGAGCGAGAAAAAAATATTAAAGGTTGGTGAAAAAACTTAGATTATGAACTTAAAATATTAGGCTGTGCTGACCCAGAAAATAAGGAATATTTGTCAAATTTATCCCTCTTTCACAGGGAAGGAGAGAGAATTTTTCCCAAAGAAAATGATGAAGATAGCAAACAGGATATTGAAAAAGATAAAGAATGATATTTTGTTCTCGTGGACCGAACAGCAAGAGTAGAAAAGGCTAAAAAAGCCTTAGAAGAAAAAGAAAGGTCTGAGCGAGACCAAGAAAATCCTCCACCCGTTCCTAAACCGAACAAAGAACCAGGCGATAGCCCACCACCAAAAAGCCAGGAAAGCAATAATTCAAAAAATAAAGACGACAACAAAATTAGTTGGCCATTAACTTTAGGAATTGTGGCCGCGGTAATCGGACTACTTTGTTTTATTATTTTTATTGTCAAAAGCCGACGAAAAAGAGGCTAGTAATACAAGCATTAACCAAGCAATTTAAGTATACTTTTAAATTTATTATTTTCACAAAATTTTTGTAATTCCTCATTATTTTTTCACTTTTCTCAATCAAAATCGCAACTTTTATATATTTCGGCTGATAAATCAATATTTTTTTCCAAACTGATAATTTTTTTGTTAAGATAAACCATTTTTTTCTTATTTTCTAGCAATTTTTTAATATTTTCAGGTAAATCGTCTAATTTCTGATAAATATTTTCAACTGTTTGAAACTGACTAATCAGATTTTTGGCGCTGACTGGTCCAATTCCTTTCACTCCTTCAATATTGTCAACGTTGTCTCCTAATAAACTTAAATAATCTATATAGTTAGTGGGAGTAAAACCATACTCTTGACAAAAATTTTCGTAGGTGTAGAGGGTAGATTTCCGGTCAATGTATTTTAAAATGTTGACATTTTTATTAAGTAATTGAAGCAGGTCCTTATCACGAGTAAAAATGTCGAAAGTTGTGTCGGAACTACTTTTTATGTTTTGGCTGATAAAAGAAGCAATTAGGTCGTCGGCCTCACAATTTACTAATTGAATAAAATTAATATCAGTTTTTTTTTAATAATTCTTTCAGTTCTTTCATTTGCTCTCATAGTTCTTCGGGCATATCTTCGCGCTGGGCTTTATATTGAGGAAGAAGATTTTTGCGAAAGTTAGTCCCGCCGCCATCAAAGAATACTAATAACTTTTGATAATCCTCTTTTTTAAGAACACTAATCAGCACGCGCAAAAAGAAAAAAATGGTTCCTTGTTTTATTTTCCAAGGTAATTTTTGGGAAACGTGATAAGAAGAATGAAGAAGATTATTACCATCAATTATTAGTCATTTTTGTTTCATATGCTTTAAAAAGTTAAGACATTAAAATTTTACATTTTATTATATAATATTAAAGCATTCCACCTAAGAGGGTTAAATTTATACAATATAATAATATGGCAAAAATCACTAAACAAGAATTTGAAAATTATCACCAAGAATTTCTCTCCGCTTTTTCACGGATAATGTGCACTTCTGAGTTTAAAAGCATGGGAAAAGAGGACCAAGAAAAGATTGAAAAAATTTTTGGCTTGCTTCTTAATGAAATCCAGTCAGGAAATATTTTAGCCCTTTATGGTTCTTGCGAAGAAGTTGAAGGAAAGTTAAATGAAGACTACTCTGCTATCAAAAGACGAGTTAAGGAACACATTATCGCTCGCGGCTATTATAATCCTGCTTCACCACTTTCTCTTGCTGAATTTAGAGAGAGGATGAAAAAAAGGGGCTGGAAAAATTTTAAAGAATTATGGGAAAATAAAGAACAGATTAAAAAATTGTTATCGGAAATGAATGAAGAAAATCGCAATTTTATCAAATCTACTTTTTACCTTTTTGAACAAATAGACGAAATTGTTCAAGATAAAGAAGAAAAAGAATGAACGGAAGAACAATGAAAAAAAACGGGATTTATTGAGGAGGACATTCTGAAAGTTTTAGAAGAGGCACAAAATAGATTAGCAGAGAGAGAGAGAGAGAGAGAGACAATTCCCGCCGTCCCACTATCCCTAACTCTCACGAACAGACTAATAAGAGAATAAATGAATTAGAATCAGAAAAGAAACAATTAGAGGCCAAAAATCAAGAATTAGAACAACAATTAGCCAATAAGTCATTGAGCGAGCGAGAAAGAAAACTTAAAGAAGAAGAATTAGCCGCCAACCGTAAATTACTGGCCGAAAAAGAGAAAGAATTAGCCAAATTACAAAACCAAAAACCAAAAAATCCAACTAATACTGAAAAAAATAATAGCAAACTTAATTGAGCGATTGGTTTGGGGATTGTAGCAGTAGTTATTGGTTTACTTTGCCTAATTTTAATTGCTAGTCGGAGAAAAGAGAAGAGATAATTACGAAGACTGGTCTAAAAAACGCTAAAATAATAAAATATATAAAACTTAATTTATGGCAGAAAAGAAAAAATTTGAAAGATCGAAACCTCATTTAAACATCGGGACTATTGGTCATGTTGACCACGGTAAAACAACTTTAGCGGCCGCAATTACCTCAGCGTTAGCAAAACAAAACAAAGCCAAAAAAAAAGATTATTCAGAAATCGATAAGGCTCCCGAAGAAAGAAAACGAGGAATAACTATTCAAGCTACTGACGTGGAATTTGAATCGGATAAAAGGCACTATTCGTTAGTCGACTGCCCTGGACACGCTGACTATATTAAAAATATGATTACCGGCGCTTCGGAATTAGACGGAGCGATTTTGGTGGTTTCCTCTGACGATGGTGTGGTGGAACAATCACACGAACATATGCTACTTGCTAAACAAATCGGGATAAAGAATATTGTTGTTTTTATTAATGACAAGACTAGCAAGGGTCTGGATGATGAGACAAAAGAGTTATTAGAAACTGACGTTCGTGCTAATTTGGAAAAATATGGATACGACAGAGAAAAAACTCCGATAATTGTTGCTTCAGCTTACAGAGCATTGGAAGATAAACCAAAAGAAAAAGGAGTAAAAAATCCTGCTTATGACCCCCAAGAAGAAGAAAAGGTTTTGAAATTAATTGAGATGGTTGATGAGCACATTCCACTTCCCGTAAGAGATGAAAATAAGCCTTTTTTCATGTATATTAAAGACAAATTTAGCATTACCGGTCAAGGAACAGTGGTCGCTGGTGTAGTTAAAAGAGGAAAATTAAATATAGGTGATAAAGTTGAATTAGTTGGTTTTGGCAAAAAAAAGGAAGCGGTGGTAAAGAGTATTGAATCACATCTTAAGTCCTTAGATCAAGCTGTTCCGGGTGATGACATTGGTATCAACTTAAGAGGTGTGGAATATGAGGAAGTAGAAACCGGTCAAGTGTTGGCTGCTTCGGGAAGTATTTCCATGCACAAGAAATTCAAGGCTCAGAGTTATATTTTAAGTGCTGAGGAACGTGGTCGGAAGTCTGGTTTTAAAAGTGGTTATAAGCCACAATTTTTCTTTTCTTCCCTTGATATTACTGGAACAATAGAATTACCGGATAAGGACCAAATCGTAAATCCCGGAAGCAATGTTGAGTTTACGGTGGAACTAATCGAATCAGTCCCAATCGAGCAAAACATTAACTTTACAATACGAGAAGGAGGAAGTACAGTTGGAACAGGAGTAGTTACCGAAATTATTGAGTAAAAGGAAATTTTTTCGGAGTAGGTTTGGTAATGGCTGGCTCCTCTTTTTTTCCATGAGGATTTTAGGTCATAATTGATTTGCTAGATTGAGTTTTCTGGTCAGAGAGTAATGAAAAGTAAAATAATCGCCCAAGCTAAAAAAAACCTTCGTGATTTTAAAATAGTAGAAAGATTTGTGGCGGGGCTGGTGTTAACTGGTTACGAAATAAAGTCACTTCGTAACCGTCAAGCATCAATTGGTGAGGCTTATGTTGTGCCTCAGCAAAAGGAGTTATACGTTATTAATATGAATATCGCGGCTTATTCTCATGCTAGTGATTTAGGGAAAAGCCGTGATACCAGGAGAAAAAGAAAATTACTTCTCAAACGGAGGGAAATAAACAAATTAATTGGTCTTATGAAAGCCAAAAATTATGTGCTTATTCCTCTACAACTTTTTATCACAAATAAGGGTTGGGCCAAGCTTGAAATCGCTCTTGCGCAACACCTCCGCAAATATCAAATTAAAGAAAAAATTAAAGAAAAAGAAATTAAAAGAAAACTTCGTCAGGGAGATTTTTATTAAAGAAATAAGGATAAAATTAGTTTTGAACGGATTAACTGAGTCCTAAACTAAACTGCTTTAAAAAGCGAATGTCATTCAGGTAAAAATGACGAATATCTTCCACTCCATACTTAATCATTAATAATCTTTCTACTCCTAAACCAAAAGCAAAACCAGTAAATCTTTGATTATTATAATCACAATTTTCAAGAACGCGAGGGTGGATTAAACCAGCCCCTAATACTTCTACTCAGCCAGTTTTTTTACAGATATTACAGCCCTGGCCTTGGCAAGGAGGGCATTGTGCGTCTACTTCCACACTGGGCTCAGTAAAAGGAAAATAAGAGGGGCGAAAGCGAATCGGATGATTTTCACCGAATAGTTTTTTTAACACTAATTCTAGGGTGCCTTTTAAGTGAGAAAAGGAAATATTGCGGCCAACTACAAACCCCTCAATTTGCGTGAATTGGTGGGTGTGGGTTGCGTCGTCCTCATCACGCCGATAAACTTTGCCAGCCGTGATAATTTTTAATTCTTGATTAGGATTATTTTCCATAACCCTTATTTGAGTATTGGAAGTATGAGTACGCAGTAGCAAATTAGTATCTAAATAGAAAGTGTCATGCATATCGCGAGCAGGATGCTCGGGCGGCATATTTAACTTATTGAAATTATAATCCTCAGTTTCAATTTCGGGACTTTCCGCAATTTGATAACCGAGTGGAAGAAAAAGGTCATAAATCTTTTGGGTGATTTGAGTAATAGGATGGAGGTTAGCGAGCGGAATTTTTATCCCTTCAAGATAAATGTCTACCCTGTCTTTTTCTAACTCTGCAGTTTGTTTTTGTTCTTTTATTTTTGCTTCTATTTCCTTAACCTTTGCGGACAGTTCATTTTTCCAATTATTAATTAACCCCCCTAATTTTTTTTTCTTTTCCAAGTCTCTTTCTTGGCTTATTTGCTGAAAAAGTTGGGAAATTAGACCTCCTTTTTCTAGATACTTTTTTTTTATCTTTTCTATTGCGGAAAAATTTTTGGCTTCTTGGAAAGATTTTTCCACCAAGATATTAATTTCTTTTTCTTCTGCCATTATAATTTCAGGAATTAATATATTTTTACACTAATTCTTTTGTTATTATCAAGTTAAAGGACAATTCTGATCATGAATATAAAATAACTTAATATGCCAAAGACTAATAAAAAGTTTAGTGAAAAGCAAAGAATTCACCAAATCAGTCAATTAATCAAAAAAGACTTAACCAACTTAAAAAAGCGAAAAACAACTGAGCCTAATTCCATTGAAGTAATCTGCACCCCACATGATATTTTTCATACTTCCAAAAAGAATAAAAAATAAGACTTCTAAGGAATATGAAAGAACTAATTGCCCATTTAATTAATCAGGCTTACCGAGTTTACCAAGGCAAGTTAATTCCAGAAATTTTCCACCCTGCTAACATTTCTTATTATGTCGAGTTTGGAGGCTTCCAGTTAAGTTATAATTGGTATGGACGAACTAGAATAGCCAAAGAATTAATTGGTAAATTGAGAGTCTATCGCAAGATTATTCACTTCGATATTCGTTTTGCTCATCATCTGGCTAACGTGGCTAGTTCTGATTATAATTACTATCAAGAATACAATCTAAGTCGTTTAATTCACACCCTCGCTCACGAAGTAGCCCATTGTGTAATTAGTGATTATGGCTTGCTTCTGGTAGAAGAACACAGCGAAGCCCACGAAAAACTTACTACTGAATTAGAGAATTATTTATGAACTTTGCCAGAGGTAAAAGAATTATCCCACTTACAAAAAGATAATAATAAAAAATTAACTAAACTTAAATAATTTTATTACTGTTTAAAATTCGTTATTTTTTTATCATGACTAAAGTCTATGTTGCCCATCAGACTAATCTCTTATTCGAAAATTAATTTTAAACTTTTATCCTGTTAAATGTTTTTTTAACTCCTCATTAATGTTAATCATTACTAATTTATAAATTTCATCCTTAAATTTTTTTATTTTATTGGCTTTATCAATAATCGCATTGGCCGCACTTTCTTGATTTTCTAATTGTTTTTGTAGATTAATTATATAATTAGGTAATTTATCATTGGCTCACTCCTCTATTTTCTTTAATTTCTGTTCTTTATCGGCCGGATTGTCAGTTTTCATAAGATTGTGTTTGGTAATTAACAATTCTCGTATAATCTTTATCGCTAAGAATAGATTAATATTGTCGCCGCTAATGTAAATTTTTTTTCGAGGGTCGGTGGTTTTGGCTGACCGAATGATTTTGTCGCCTTCGCAGGCGGCAACAATAAAGCCATAGTCAGCATGATGAAATACCATGTCTTTTTCTAATTTATCAATTCAGCCATTATCTCACTTTTCAGTATTTTTAGTCTCATAAACAATTCGTCCGGCAACTTTTTTTGGTTCAGTCTCAGTTAAAACTTCTTGAAGAAAGTCAGCCCTTTTTCCCATTCCTGTTTGTCCTTTGCTTACGTCCGTGATTCTATCTTGTCCATCAAATACTTTAACCAGTTCTTCATAAAACCATTTTTCAAAATCTTGTCCCTTACCTTGACCCTTTTGCCTTAATATTAGATTTTGAATTTGTTCTTTTTTTTCAGTCAGTTCTTTTTGCAGTTCCTGATTCTTATTTTGTAAACTTTCTATGGTTTTTCAATGCGTGCCAGCAATTTCTTTTTTCTCCTCCTCTAATTTCTTGACCCGAGTAGAATTTTCAATATGTTCCGGAGATTGTAGGTAAATTATCCTTTCCTCGTGGTTCTTAATGACATCTTTTAATTTTTTAACTTCCTCAAAATTTTCATAGATTTTTTGTTGTTCTACTTCCTTAACTATTACTGTTTTATAACGATTTCAGTGCGGAATAATTTGTTCCTCTAAAACTTTCCTTACTATTTCATTGATATAACCAAAAGCGCGCTGGTCTTTGCCAAAATGCTCATCATTGATGCTCTCCCGACAATGCGGACAAGGAAAAGTAAAGCGGTTTAATCTTTCTCTGATTGCCCTCCTAATTTCCTCCTGCAACAACTCATTGGATTTTTGTTGTAATTCTTGCATAATTATATTATTTATAAATTTTTAATTTTATTTTGCTACTGAACCGCCACTAAATCCTGAGTCGGTTTCTTTAATAAAAAATTAATTATTTTCCACTGCCACTATTTTCACTTCAGTATATTGCTCGCGAAACCCCCATTTTCTTTTGGTTCTTTTTTTGGGCTTATATTTCATTCCCACTATTTTCTTATTTTTGCCATTCTTAATTACTTCGGCAATTAATTTAATAGGTAAATAGGGCTGACCAAATTCTTCATCTTTTCTCAAAACTTTGTCAATGATTATTTTATCACCAGGCTTAGTTTCTTTTTGAAAGGGAATTCGGAAAGTTTGGTCTTTTTTTTCTGGAAAATAAGTAATTTGCTTACCTTTTCAATCTAACGTTATACTCATAATAATAAATATTTTAGCAAAATATCTCACGAGTGTGTTTCTATTTACCTCCTAAAATTTATGGAAGATTGAAAAAGACAAGGAAAATTAAAGCATTTTCATAAGTTTTTCTTTGTTTCTATACAAGGCTAAAACGCGATATCCATCTTTCATTAACATAAGTCTATTTTTAACTTTATTCTTTAAAAAGGTCATTAATCGCTTTCTCTAATTTCTCCCATGATTTTTTCATAATATTTCTTCTAATTCTCTTAATTACGCTTGCTCTTGACTAGTGGCTGCTTCGTGTTTATAAATTTCATCCCATAAACGAATATATTTTTGTTCATGTATTCTTTTGGCTTCGTCCAGCAGTGACTTATACTTTTCGTAAAAAAGACGAGCATTAACAGTTTGGGTTATGGCTTCCTCTAGTTTCTTAATTATCTCCTTACTAATATCGGCTATCTCCTTTACTCTTGACATAACTTTTCTAAACTAACTCTCTTTTCTTGGAGTAAGTGTTGTTTGTTCTCTATTTCTTTTAGCAAGTTTCTCGGGCTTTCCTGCCGTGCTTGTTGAACTCGCTTAATTGGTTCCAGCATTCGTTCTTTCATTAAACGAAATTTTGCCTGAGACTTTTTGACAATAGTGTCAATGTAGCTTGGATGATTCATATAAGTTATTTTATTTGCCATTTTTTTGGTGGATTTCTATCAAAAACCTTTTATTTGCCTTTTAAGGATAATTTTATTAATTCTTATCATCTACTAACCAAATTATTTATCCTTATCATACTATGGAAATCAATATTAGTTTAAATCGCTTACAGGAAAGAAAACCAAAGAAAAACAATTAGCCAGCAGAGTTTCTCGAGGCGAAGTTTATTAGGATTATTCCTTCCCTAGCAGAACTAAATCATCCTTAATTAATTCCTGAAATCCTTCATCCATTCATCCCCAAAACACTAAATCGACCTTAAAAGGTAAGTTAGAATTTTCAAAATCTTCGTGAATATGGCTCAAAACGTTTAGCGGAATTTCTTCCTGATAGCAGAGGTCCAAATCAGAATATTTTTCTGCCTTTCCTTTTACTCGTGAACCATAAGCATAAAAATGGTAGGGATACTTGCCAAGTACTTGTTGAATTATTTCTTTATGTCTATTTTCTACTTGCAGCATATTTAGGAGCTTCTTTGATCAATCGTTCTAAAAAATAATCTAAGTCCTTTAAAAATTCCTTGGTGGTGTTAAAAAACAAGTCATCTAAATGGACAGTAATATTCCTCTTTTCTAAGTAAGAGAACCAGGTTTCGGCATCTGATAATAAACCTAGTTTGGCAGTTTCTCGGAAAATATCCCGTGCTGCTCCACTGGCATCTGCCCCCGAAATCTTAGTATCTTTTTCATTATTCGCCAAGCTAACTCATAACAACACTCAAAGGCTTTGATAGTGCTAGTTTTTTAATCCTGACGGATAAAATATTAAGTTTATTTTTCACAATTATTACGAGCATTTTGGAGAATTTCGGCTAAGAAATTACGAGCCTTAACTAAGGAAGTGTAATCAACTGTACCGTAAAGGTATTTTTGTTCCATACTTAATGCTTAGTAATTTTTGGGTGTAACTTCTATTTGAGCAACTAGATCGTTCTCTTCAATTCGTTCTTTCTCATCATCACTTTCCATATCAACTGCTGTATGAAGCACTTTCTCTTTTTGCTTTTCTTTGCGATGTTTTTTTTCTTCCTCTTCTCTTACCCAGCGATAGAAAGCCTTGCGATATTCCGTCACTTCTTTTTCTAATCCTCGGATTGCTTCTACAATTTTGTTTAATTTATTTCCCTTTCTGCTATCTTCTTCGCCATCCCTCTCTTCCCACTTTTTTCTTAAATCCTCGGTGAGTGTTCCTCTAGCAACCTTTAACTCATCAATATCTATCTGTTCATTCCCATCATCATCATATTCTTTTAAAAAGTTATAAATTTCTTTATTTAAATCTGAAAGTGCCTTGTCTACTTTTGCTTTTCCCTGAAAAGAATCCTTAACAGGCTCAATTATTCCGATTAATTCATAAAAATTATCCCAAAGATTCTCCACATCCCTCTCAAATTCATCTCATCTCCTTTGTTTTTCATCATAAACTTGCTCGTTTACATAAGAAGTAAGTGTTTCAATAAAGGGAGCCGCAATAGCAATTACACCTCCGATTTGAGTATAACGTTGAGAGTTAGGGTCTTCGGTGTCTGACTGTCCCACCAACAGTAAACCACCACCTACCACCGAAGTAGCCCGATTAACTCATTGGACGCCAGTAATTAATCACCACCTTCTACTGAACTCATCGGGGTGTTTCAATTTACCCATTTCTGAGGAATTTTCCGCTATTCGTGGTCTTTTTCTTAAAGCGTTGAGGAAATTAATAAATCTCTTTTCGTTTCTTTCATACCAATTATCTTCGGCTTCCCTTTCTCATTTGTCAAGAAACTTCTTGATATTACCTCGAATAACATATAATCTTTCTAAGGGAATAACCGAAGCGATACCACTTCTTTGTTCCTCCTTTCATTTAGTAAGGTCGTAATACTTGGTGTCGTCTCCCGTTTCTAAATGCTTACCAAGTTCCTTAGCAATCTTTACTGACTTATACTTAGATTTATAGTGAAAATCACAATAAATTTCCTTACAACTTTCGGGCAAATCTTCTATTCCCTCCCGAAGGTCAGTATGGCTAATGTAAATTCTCTTTAAATTTTTTAGTTCACTTAAATGTTTTAAACTTCCCTCAAAAGGACAGTATTCAATATTCAATTCAACCAATCCTTTAAAGTCTTTTAAGAAATCTAGTTCTGAGGCATTTTCATCAGAAAATTTTATGCCCTTTTGCATATACAACTCCTCTAACTGCTCTTTATTAGGTAAAGATTTTAAAAAACTAGTGTCAGTAAAACGATTATCAGAACAATTAAGACTAATTAATTTCGGACAACTGCTTAATTCTAAATTGGTTAAAAAATTACCTGAACAATCTAATTTTTCTAAGTTAGTAAAACCTTTTAATTTTAAAGAACCTTTTAATTTTTTTTCACTAATATTTAATTTAGTTATTTCCTCTCTTCTTTTGCCGTAATTTTCTTTATCTATTTTTCGTGTACTTTCACCATTTAAAGGATAATTTTGATCCAGTCATTCTTGGGCATCAAGGGCATCGATAAGGTCAACCAGGTCTTGATTATTTTTTCTTCACGCCTGGTAATCATAGAAAACCCCCTCTTTTTCGTAAGGTTCAAGTTCTTTTTGCAGTTCCTTACAAAGAGATTCTGGTCGCAGTTTCGCACTACAATAAATCACTAGTTCCGCATTTTCTGGAAGGTATTCCAAACCACTACTAATATCAGTATTATTAATATGTAATTCTTCTAACTTAGGCGAAGTTCTCAGTGACTTTAAACTGCCCTTAAATCTATTTCTAAATTGTTTTTGCTTTTCAGGTTCTCGGAAATAGTTGCGAATTTGCAAATGCTGTAATTTAGGCAAGTCTTGGAACATATCTAAACTTTGCTCAGAAAAATCACAATCATTAAAATAAATTTCTGTTAGTTTATCCTTGCTAGCCGAAAAATCTATTTCTTTTACTTGCGTTTGACAAACACAAAGGTAAGTTAAGTTAGATAAGCCAGTGATATCGCAACCAGTTATTCCTCAATTGAATTGGATATTTAGTTTTTCTAGACCAGTGAAATCACGTAAATCTAAATCCCCTTCTAATTCCATCGACTTATCATTATTAATCGCTAACTCACCATTAATGATTACTTCTTTAATTTTATTTCTTTGTTCCTTTGGGTAGTTGAAACTTAACCATTCCTGAGCATTGCGATATTTTTTTCTTAACTCTTCTTTTTTATATTCGCTAATGTTCTTGGAATCACCACATTTTTCTCCCAAGTAATCCTCAAAACTTTTCAACTTAAAAGTTTTTTCCCCTCACTTTTCTTTTTCATCTAACTCAATATCTTTAACATAGCCAACATAGTCAACCAATTCCTTTTTAACACCGCTATTTCTTAAATCTAACGATTCGAGATTTCGGAATAAGAAAGTAAAATTTCAAAAACTATGATTGTTATGAAATTTATTATTGGCTAAATTAAGAGTTTTTAGTTTAGTGGGGTCGCTGGTATCAAAAATTAGCCGAGACAATTGATTATCATTAGCCACCAATTCCTCTAACGATTTGCTACTATCGGTTAAATCAAGAGAAGTAATTTGGTTATGAGAACAATTCAGTCTTTTTAAATTTTTAAATCCAGTTAGGATTAATTTTCCTTCGAGATTTTGATTACTGATGTCTAAGTTCTCAACTTTTTCTTTTTTTTCTGGTGTGTTGTATTTTTCTTGTAGTCATTTTTGTGCGTTTACCATATTTTTATTTGGATAGTTTATTTTTTTGATATTATTTCTATTTGGGCTTGATATTCTTGAGACATTTCTTGATTATCAAAGCCAACTATGAATGTTTTTTTATTATCGTTAGCATCTTTTTCTAATTTATCAGATCATCCTTCTTCTATTCTTACTAAATCTACGCGGTGATGGACACCAATTAAATCATCCCTACTAATCGACTTGTTAATTTGTCTTTGGAGAATATTTTTTAATTTTTCATACTCTTGCGTGCTGACATTTTTAATCTCTTTGTCAGTAATCTTATCTACCAATTTTTCTTTATCATCCAATCCAACTTCTTGAATAGAAGGGTTTTTCTCAAAATGCTTTCAAAGCATTTCTAACTCGCTTTTTACTAAACCCTTACTATCTTTAATTCTCAATGTTAGCAAAGCAAATGGCTTGTCACTTTTCCACTCTTCCCTATTTGGAACTATAAGCATCCTTCCTTTATCCACCGCTTCGATACCTTCTTTAGTTCCTGATAAGGTTACAGTAAACCCCTTTTCCTCTCCTTCTCTTTCCACATAAACTTCCCTCCGTCAAAGCCCTCCATCTACTGTTTCTTCTATTTCTGCTTTGTATATACCCTTATCTTTCCAAGTTATGATATATTCTGAGCCAGTTATTTTAATGCCTTTATTTTGGCGATCAAACTCGAGTTTCTCACCTTTTTTAGTATCAACCTTTATGCTTCCTTTAACGTTGCTTGAGCCTTTTAAGCCACTATTATTGATCACCTCTGGTATCCAACACAATCCTAATTTTTTACTTCCTGAACCATGCCAAGCCAAAGGTTCTCCATATCCTTCCTCCACAGCAATAAGCATAATTTCTTGTAGGACCGATTCTGAATCTCTTTCATAATTAACTTTTACCTTCTTGCCGTAGGGTAATAAACCAATTATTGAGTAGATGCCATCCAAAGCAATACTTCTACCCCTATCTTTTACTGCTCACAATGCCTCGTTTAATCGAAGAGATGCTTGATCGCCAAGATTATATCCTTTTTCCTTGCCTTCTTTTCAATCGTAATATACTCACCCAACTGGAGTAGCAATCTTGTTCTCACACAGTTCTTTTATGCTCATACATTCATCATAATCAGCTTCAGAAAACTGTTTTAGTTTTCAAACCAAAGCCATAAACCTTCCATCTATTAAAAAATCATCAAACATAAAGATAGTTTGTTTAGACAAAAATCCTTCTTGGTAAGTTCAAGAACGCTTAAATCAGTTAGAACCAATTATTTTTTTCAAAATTGGTAGGGAATTCTTGACTATTTCATTGGGATAAATAAGTCCGGCTTTTCCTGGCTCAAAAGAGTCCAATAACTTTTTCATGGTTTCTTTACCGATACTATCGTGTATTGCCACTAGAGTTACGGTGCTATTACCATAGTATTGTCTCATCATTGGAACTTCATGTTCTTTTTCGTCAAGGCTATTCTGATTAATGCACATTTGATCCATCCAAAGGTACTTGATTTTTTTTTCGCCCTTTTTATTTTTAAATAAATGGAACTCATTAAGGACTTTGAGAGTCTTGAGGGCTTTGTCCAATGATTTAACTCCGCCCGGGCTTAATCTTTCTTGGGCATTTTCTGGACTTCATTTTATGTCTTCTTTAGCCGAGCCATCTCAAGTATAAGATAAAATGGCATAATACTTAGCATCATCAATACACTCTACCCTTGTCTTTACAGTAATTTTTCTATTTTCAAGTTCAGTCTCAGTGAGCATTTCTTCTTCCGATTCTTCTAATTCTTTTGATAAGTTATCTTCCCCAATTTCACAAAGTCTGCGTGGCAATTCGCTTGGTGGAAGTTCATTTTCGCTAGTAATTTCTCAATCAAATCCTGCTTCTTCAGAAGGATAAATCAACCTACCGCTTCTGAAATAATCTTCTTGACCTCCTTTTTCTACTTTAGAATCTTCAAAACTAGAAAAAATTGGGAGTTTCACTATTGCTTTTATCTCATCATGAGTGGATTCATGAGATGAAATCGCACTTTGATTGCTCTCCCGTAATTTTTTTATGTCGTAAAAATCACCTTCGCTGTCTCTACCCAAGTAGTTATCTAATGAACTCTTTGTCTCTGTTTTTTTTGTGTTCGACTTTAACTCTGTTTTTTTCATTTCAGGAATTTCAGGAATTATTGACTTTTCCTCACTATCTTTTTTCTCATTTATATTTACTTCTCTCTTATTACTTCTATGACAATAGACTTTCTCTAATTTCTTTAACATTTCTTTATTGTCTTTTAATTTTTCTAATTCTTCTTCTAATTTTTCTTGCGAAGAGTTTTCTCCTTTAACTTTAAAGATATTAATTTTAACTAACTCGTTGAGGTTTTTTAAATCTTCAAGAGAGATATCAAACTTGTTTTCTCCCCTCCTTTCGTCAGTATTACCGATATACAAAACTCTCAAATTTTTAAATTTGTTAAAACTGCTTGTCTTACCATCAGAAATTTTATTATTACTAATATCGAGATACTGTAAATTCGAATCAGAACGTCTATCTTTTTTTTCCCTCTCTTATTTCACCAAAAATATCTGTCATTTTTTCAAATTTATTACCAGAAGCCCGTAATTCTTTTAAATTACAATCTGCATTGAATTTCAATTCCGTTAGTTTGTTATTTCTACAATCAAGACCTACCAATTTAGGACAATCGCTCAAATCAATTTTAATTAACTGATTGTTATGGCAAGTCAAGTACTGTAATCCTTCAAAATCTTCTAATCTTATTTCACCCTCCAATTCTTTACTGCTAATATCTAACTCAGTAATATCCTGTCTTTTTTTCTCCTTGGTTTCTTGACCAATATCTTCTGTTCATCCATCTTTTGGATACTTTTCATCCAATCATTGCTGAACTTCTATTTTTTTTCATTGCCCTTTTATTTTGTTTTTTTCGACTAGTTTGGTTAAAAAAACTTTACTCTCTGATAAACCATTATTGTCTTCTTCAAACTTTAGATCAGTTAATTTATCACAATTTTCAATGCCTAACAACTCAGTCAGTTGATTATCTTTTTCACAGTCGAGACTAGTTAAATTGCTATTTTTGCTTATATCTAACTTTTCCAACTCATTACCACCACAATATAACTCTTTCAAATTAACATTGTGTTCCAGATTGACCTCTTTTAATTTGTTATTAGAGCAATCAAGTTTTTTAAGTTCTTTGTTTTTGCTTATATCTATGCTAGTCAATTCATTACTATGACAGTCTAATACTTCTAAATTCCTATATTCACTTAAATCCAAACAGCCTTTTAATTTTTGCTCACAGAGATCAATTGATTTAGTAGCAGATTTGTCAGGATACATCTCATTTAGCCTTTTTTTAGTAAGATAAGAATACAATTCCTCTTGAATGTCTTTTACTCCACTTTCTGGTCTTTCTTCCTTAGAACAACAAAATTTGCTTATACTTAATTTTTCAGGTAAATCTTTAACATCTACTTGATTGATATCAGTATTAGAGATATCCAATTCTTCTAAATCAGTTAGTGCTTTTAAAGAACTTAGTGAACCAACAAAGTGATTATATTTATCTTTCTTAATTTCTTCTTTATTAACACTACCAATTCATAAACTTTTTAATTTAGTAAATTTGCTAAAAATTGATAGGTCTTGTTCTGAAAGATTATTATTTCTTATACTTAACTCATTTAATCTTTCAGGATTTAAAACGGAGTAATTTATATCGGTTAAACAATTATTTCTACAAAACAGTTTCCGCAACTGTGTTAAATTACCTAATTTTATCTCAGTCAACTGGTTAATATTACAAACAACCTCTTCCAACTTTGTCAAGTTATTTAAATCAAGTGTAACTAATTGATTACTATAACACTCAAGTATTTTTAACTCTTGACAATTACTGATATTTAACTTAGTTAATTGATTAGAAGAACAATTCAAGTTTGTTAGATTCCCAAAATCACTCAAATCTAGTTCTCCCACTAAACCTTTTTCACTAATATTTAATTTAGTGATTTTATCTCTAGTTTTTCCTTCATAACCAGCAAAATTACTTACTTCATATTTGGGAAAATTTTCATTTAACCACCGTTCAGCACTTTGTTTTTTTACATATTTATTATTATGAAAGACAAAGTTATTTTCCTTTTTTAATTGCTCGTTTAGTTTAGCAAGGCCATCGTTATTGCTAATGTTCAATTCTTCTAATTGCAAATTGCTTATATCTAAATTAGTGAGTCGATTATTAGAACAATTCAGTTTTTGTAAATTAGTCAACCCTTTTAGATTCAACTCAGTTAATTTATTAAAGGAGCAAATTAAATTCTTCAATGAAGAACAATCAATAATATCTAATTTCTCTAATTTATAATAATTGTAGTAACAATCAAACTCAGTTAAATTCTGACAATTACTCACACTTAATTCCTTACTATCTTTAAAATATTTAATTTCCGCTTTTTCCAATTGTGGACAATCTTTAATAACCACCTTATTCACTTTGTCAACCCAGTATCACTCACTACTTGTTATCACTCTTAACTTATCAAAACTGCCAATAACTAATTCACTCTCCACATTGACATTTTCATATAGATCAACAAGATCAATTTTTTTTACCTCTTTTTTGTCAGAATATTTATTTTCTAATCACTGTTGAGCAGTAATTTTTCTTACATATTTATCACCATCTAGCAAGAAAGGAGAATCAGTTTTATTTAATTGCTCAGCCAATTCTTTTATTTTGCTTTCTGTTCTTTCTTTAGTGGAACATCAAATTTTTTTAACAGTAGATGGTAAATGCTCTAGACTACCATCAATATCAATATTGGAAACATGTAGTTTTTTTAACTTAGTTAGGTTCTTCAGAGCTTCTAAAGAGCCATGAAATTTATTATGAATGTTTTGCTGACAATGTTCCTCATTTCCTTCATTACCAATTCATAACCCCTTCAATTTAGTAAGTTGACTAAAAACGTCTAGATTTTTCTCAGGAAGATTATTATCACTAATGTTTAGATAAGTAAGTGCATCAGGATTTAAAGTTGAATAATCAAAACTAGTGAGATAGTTATCATTACATTCAATCCTTTCTAATTGTGTCAAGTTATCTAAACCTAGTTTAGTTAATTTATTTCATTGGCATTTTAGATCTTTTAAATTGATACAATCTTCTAAATTTAATTCAGTAATTTGGTTGTGGGAACAATTAAATTCTTTTAAATTAGAAAAACCTTTTAAGTTAAGAGAGCCTTCCAAACCTTCATCAGAGATATCTAAACTAATTATTTTGTCCTTTTCTTCTAATGAATAATTATCTAAATAATTTTGAGCAACCTTTATTCAGTTATTAAAATCTTCCCTTGAATTTTCTATATCTTCTGCCTTAATTTCAGCAAAATCATATTTTTTTTGGTTTTTCAGGTAAGCAGCAAAATCATATTCATCTCCTTCCATTCCAACTTCTTTTCAGTGCTTAACTTCTTCACTATTTAATCCTCTTCTTTTTCATTCTCTTCAAATCTTAATACTGTTATCATAAGGAGAAAGTTGTTCGCGAATTTTACTTACTCGAAAATTAAATTTATCAGATATAACCTCACAGTTTAACGTTTCAACGCTATCTGGCAAAAATTCTAGACCAGAATCTATATTGGTATTGCTGATATTTAACTCAGTTAGTTCGGTCAAATCCTTAAATGGTTCTAAACTGCCAGTAAAACGATTGTAAATACCTTTTTCTATCCTTTCCTTACTATCATTATTAATATACAAGTTCTGTAAGTTAGTAAAATTACCAAAAACTGCTAAATTTTGCTCTTTGAAATTATTATTATGTGCGTACAATTCAGTTAATTTTTCCGGACTTAAATTATCAAAAAAATCTAACTCATCTAAGTAATTATCAAAACAAGAAAGAAATTCCAATTGTGGCAAATCATCCAATTCTAAATTACGCAATTGATTAGAATAACAATAAAGTATTTCTAACTTCGGACAATTAACTATCTTCAAACTAGCGAGTCTGTTGGTATCACAATCTAACCTTTCCAAATTAGAAAAACCTTCTATTTTTAAATCTCCTTCTAAATTTTTGCCATCAATGAATATTTCTACTACTTCATCCCTTTCTTCCACAGAATAATTTTCGTCTAAATAACCCTGAGCATTTACTAATTTAATAATCTTGTCTTTATACTTTTCTTTAGCCTTTATTTCTAATTTGTTTTCGTCTACAAAATGAGAAATAAAAATCTTTTCTAGTCTAGTGAAATCAGATAAGTCTAATTCTCCTTCTAGGTTTTTATTGATATATAATTCGTTGACACTTTCTCTTTCTTCTTTTGGATATTTTTGGTTGAGTCATTGCTGTGCGTTCATTTTACCATTTTCCTCTTCACTCACAAATTCATTGCTAGAGTTTATATTATTTTCCCGAGCAACCCCTTCTTCTTCCAATTCTTTTTTATATCTACTTCTTAATTCTTCCCTATCATCATCGCCCAAGAACTCTTCGGCAGTAACATTGTACTTTTTCTTTAACCAATCAGCAAAGTCAACTTCTTCCGGTTCTAAGCCAAATTCCATTCATTCTTTGGTTTCTTCGGCAGTAAAACCTTTTGTTTCTCACTTTTTTTGTAATTCTGATGTAAAATTTGGGTATGTTTCTGTTATTTCTGTTCAGTTTACCATATTGTTTTTGAATATTAGATTTGCGTTATTATGTCTAAAAAGTTTGTTTTACAATCGCTCTTGGAACTTAATCCTATCAATATCTAACTAGGAGTGATCGATTTTTAAAGTATTCTAGTTAGATATTTTGTATCGTTTTGGTCATAGGAAACTTGTTTTTTTTGTTTTGTTACATATAGAAGTAGAAGTTTTTAATTCCTTATATTGATAGGAATTTTTATAGTCTATATTTAAGATTTTATATATTTTTTACTGTCCAGCACACTAACCTTTCTTTAAGTTTAGTCAAAATTATAATCTCCACTTCACATATATATAATTGTCTATTGAAAGGGACTAGTGGACAATTGTATAAATCCCAGTTGCCTACTTGCTAGTAACCTTATCAGTCGCTTTGAATACATAACTAAAATGGCAACTGGGAAATGCCTGAAACAGGTCAAAACTAATAAATTTTTATTAAAAACTTTTTCGAGAGAGGGAAAGTTTTTCACTTTTTTGCCCTATTTTTGGATCTTTGTCTACGGAATAAGTAAAAAATAGCCATTAAGCACCTTTCTGCTTTTTTTTATTCTCACATTATTTATTTTGGAACCACAGAGATTGCAACTATTACAATGTGCAAAATTATTGCTCGTTTTTACTATCCCTTCCAAAAAATTACCACCCAATTCAAATCCAATTTCCTCTTTTTATAACCCCACAAAAGTAAAAACTAAGTCTAACCAAAGAATATGTCAAGAGTAATTAAGAAATCAAAAACATCTAAAAATAAGAATATTAGACTAACAACTATAAAACAGGAACCGAAACCTATAGATGAACGCGGTTATCCCGTCCCTCGGAGCGAGGAATGTTTTTGGTGCAAGGAGAAATTTTGACTTACTTTCGTTTTTTCAAAACAAGGATATTCACTTAAGAATTCCTGATTTTACTATACTGAAAAGGAAGAAGACCGAGGTAAATTTTCTTGTTCGCCGTGCTTGCGAGAAATTTATTTAAAGAATAAAAAATTTTATCTATCAAATGTCAAGGATATAAGGAAAAAACGTTTGCTTTCTAGTTACATCAGCACTAATTCTATCTAATCTCTTTAACATTTTTTAACTTCAAAGCATAGCAAAATCATCCTTATTAAAAAAATGGAGAATTGGGTTTTGACACGAGTTCGGTGCTATCACAGTATAAAACAAATTATACCTATGACTTACATCGAATCTTATTTCAAAAATCAATGGGCATCAAAATGTCTAGACCAAAAACACCACATTATTAGAGGAAAAAAAATTAAGTTTTTTATTCTCGATGGTGACAGTGGTAGTGACAACAAGTTAATCTGTGACAATTGTCAGAATTATAAATCGTGGAAAGCAGTCACTATTAAAAACACAGTTTGATGTAGCCACTGCTTACCTCCTTATGACGAAGATGATGAAATTTGGCAAAAAAATATGATTACTAAAAGGAATAACAGCGATGAAAATGTAAAAGAAGCTTTGAAAAAATTCCGTGAATCAAATTTTAATTTTTGCGAATGATAATGAAAACCACTAAAAAAAACCTCTTGCCTCAGCACAGACTAAGGCAAATTTAATAATAATATGAAAGCGATATTTAAATCAAAAATAGTAAAAGAAGTAATAAACGACATTGAACAAGAACAAAGAGAAAATCAGTTGAATTGAGAGCAAAAAGTGGATGATTGAAGAGAAAAATACATTTTTAGATGTGAACAATTAGAAGAAGAAAGAAAGATGTTAGAGGAAAGATCCTTTGAGGCAAAGTACGCCAAAGATGATAAAGAAAGTGTTCAAAGGCATTACTGAGGTTTAGTATTAGATGAAAAGAAAAAGGTTGAAGCACTAGAAAAAATGTTAGTTGAGAAAGATGAGAACACTCAAATCTCTTTACTAAAAGAACAACATCAAAAAGAGATTAGGGAATTGAAAAGAAGTAAAGAAATAGTTGATGAAAATTATGACCATTTAAGCAGAGATTGATTAAAAAGTGAAGATGAAAATGAAAAGTTAAAGAAGGAGTTGGAGGAGAAAGAATTGATGATTGAAGAATTGGAGATTAGAATTGAAGAGGAGGAAGAAATTTCAAATTGTCATTTAGATGCCCTAGAAGTCGCTAAACAGTGGAGAATAAGACAAAGTAAAGAAAAAGATGACAAAATAGAAATGTTAGGAAATGCTGTGGCATGGCAGAGTTATTTAAGAGACAAGAAACTTAAAGAACTACCATCCTTACCAAAGAAAGAAAAAAGATTTAAACTCCTATCTAACAAAGTAAAGAATAAAGTTAGCCAAACAAAAGAAATAGTTAGAGAAAAGTTTAATGCTTATATCCTACAAAAGAATAAATAGTATGAAATTAGGATATCAAGTTATCGAATTGAAGAGCAGAGGCAGATGGAGTTGTAATTTCTGCTCTTTTGAAAAAGAAAATGGTTCAACTGCTACTTATAAAGCGGTATCTTACAATATAAGTGATAATAGTTGTAATGACGTTGCTTATATCTGTGTTGAATGTAAGGAGGCTCTTGACAATGATGCTCTATCCCATTGTAGTGATTGTGGTCGAGTTATGAGAAACGGAATAGACTGCTTCTTCTGTTTAAAGAAAGATGAAACAAATAAAACTTCTCCAACAATAACGGAAATAATAGCACAAAGTTATGTGGGCAGATTGGAACAACAAAATAAAGATTTAAGACAGCAACTAACCAATGCTAAGGAAGAAATCAGTTCTCACTTGGAAGCCTTGGAAGTTTCTAAAGATTGACACAATAAACAAAAGCAAGAATTGTTAGATAAAATTCAGAGACTTGAAAGCGAGGTTGAATGTCTAAGGAAACAGCAGACCCAACAACAAGCCCAAATTGAAGTCAAAGAACCCAAAAAATGACCTTGAAAGTTAAGAAAATAATGCCAGAATACTACATCCCTGCTGCTAAAATCCTCTCGGTAGAAAAACTCCCTGATAAAAAACTTCGTAAATACACTTTCTTTAATACTCAAACAGGTGAAAAAGGTTCTTTTATTAGTGATAAAAAAGTAAATCATATTCCTGAAATAGCTGGTGAATTAGAATTATCTGTGAATGAGAACCAATCTGAGAAATTCTTTCAATCTTACGCCCAAAACATTCAAAAGTTTGAGTTACCTGAACTAATCAAGTTTGAAGATCCTTTAGAAAAAGAAGTTATTGAGACTAAACCTAAAAAAATCATCACTAAATTAGTCCCTTGACAAATAAGAAAGTTACGGGAGAAAGGTTTTAGTTGGCAAGAGGTTAGAGAATTCTGCGGAGTTAGCGAGTGAACTATTAGGAGATGAAATAAAGAGGAAGAGAATAAAGAAAAGAAAAAGGCTGGTCGCCCTCCTAAAATTAAAGGTTATGACCTCTCCTTTTTACATTCTTGTCGCACTGTTTATAAGTCACGACCTCACAAGTGAGTGGCTCAAGTCTTCTCAGAAAAGATAGAACAGCCAGTTAGCAGGTCTACTATTTCTAGACTTTATAAAAAATATGGCCTTGCCAAGAAAGTGATAACTTACCATTACTTGGAGCAGCAATCTCATTTAGCAAAGATTAAACCTTATGTAGATAGAATTAAACTTTTACCTCAAATGCAATTAATCGCGGAAGATGAATGTGCTTTCTATCTAAATGAAGTGCCTCGTAGAGCTTGAGGATGAAAAGGCGAAAGAGTTATTTCTTGAAAACCCGGAAGCATTGTGGCTCGTTACACTTTGCTTTTGTGTGTTAGAAATGTAAATGGCAAGGGAGTTATTCATTGAAAATTGATTGAAAAAGGAGCCAAAGCAGTTGACTTTCACGACTTCATAAAAGAGATTAATCTTCCTACTAATGAAAAGTATTACTTGCTGTTAGATAATGCTAAAATTCACAGAGCAATTAAAGTCTTACTTAAAAAAGGGAGACTTCCAATTAAAGAATTGTTAGCTCAGATGAATATTGATCCTCTCTATTTAGTGGCTTATTGTCCTCAATTGAATCCAGTAGAATTAATCTTCAATTTCTTAAGAAGTTATGTGGAAGAACACGAGCCAAGAACTTTTGAAGAGTTAAAACATATTATAGAGAAAGGTATGGTAGAATTACAAGAAAAAGACATGACTAAATATTTTAGACATTGTTTAGAGTATGATTTTAAAAATGTTAAAAACGAGCAAGGATTTTGCACATTGTAATAATTACAACTATTCCAACGCCAAAACCAATTTTATTCCTTTTTCTACCTCTTTAATTAGTCTTTCTTCCAACTTGCCACAGTATTTTTG